CCAGGCACCAGGCTTTGTGGGATTGAAAAGGCCGACCCACACCACGGGCGGACTGCTGAGGCAAAATGTATGTGGTTCATCAGCGAATGCAGGGCGGAGAGCCTCACTGGGCTCACCAGTCCACTATGCCAGCAGGTCCGCCACCAGAGCCTCGGCAAAGAAAAATAGCCTCGGCAAAGAAAAATAAAAAACAGTGGAGAAAGCATGAGACAGTGGCTCTTGGTAGGGACACCTCCTGAAAACTATGTGGAAGACTGGAATGGAAGCTCGCTTGAAACGAAGAAGAGACCACCCCCAATCATTCCCAGTCTACGCTTTCAGTAGATCCATTCCTAGCCAATGTCCGAAACCAAGGAGTGGATCTTCTTCATCGACTGTGATGCCTTTTTCACCGACTTCGAGACCTCCATCGGACGCCTCTTAGCCACCTATTCGGACGACCACGCGGACCGCGCGGCCGCGGCCGCGGTGCAGTTCTTGGTGGCGGAAGACCCTGGGGGGATCAACACAGGCGTCTTCCTGATTCGTGTCTCGACAGCGACGGAACGTGGGCGTGAAACACCGACATGGGCGGACGGGAGCGCGGAGCGCAAGCACTTGCGCTCACGCACGCGAAGCGGTGGTTCATTCAGGCGCGCTTTCACAAAGAAGAGGGCGACGAAATTGAGATGTTTTCAAGATCCCATGATATAAGGATTCACTTGCCTCATCGGAACCCGATACATGACGGTATTTGTTCAATTAAGCATAATTAACAATAACAACTATAAAATGTACACTTCCACTTCAAGCTTCACGTGATTGTAAGTGGGCCAACTCTAGGCAGGACAAAGAACATCTCCTTGCTTGGTGCCATTGCGTTGCAACACCGGAAAGCGCTGCAGTTTTGATTGATTGATCCATGGAAGGTAGATTTGAGGGTCCTGATGAGGCTCGTCACTCCAAGAACTTGAATCGAACATCCTTTGGACATCCTCAATTCAACAAATGTGGGTTCTTTCTGCGCAACATTTGTCCATGCCCACACACCACCCAAGCTGGATAGCTACAAGCACAGCTACCAGGCATGGCGGCACGCACCGGGGCAACCGGCTTGTAAGGGCTACAGCTGCGCTCACGCACTTGCAATCCCTTAGTGCAACTGTTTTCTAAGGGGGGCTTCTTGGACCAATCCCAATCCATGTTTGTCAACTTCACAACTCCACTTTCCCCCTGCTTCACGCAAGCAATCACAGTTTTTCGTTTTTTAGTGGTCTAGAAGGTCGGTACCATGTTCATATGTGGCGCTCGCCTTAGGGTTCATTGCATTCCACTCACCTAATATTAGAAGTAACAACAATTACAATAACTTGGGTTTGTTCTAGAGCTATTGCCCGTAACAGTCAGTAAACATTTATTGCTATGTTTGATCCAGGCCTGCAACTGAACCATCATCATCCACTGTTACAGGTATTGGGATAGACCCAAACAATAACAACAATGACAATATATGACAAATAGTAATATAGAAGGGGAAGTGGCGGAAGTGGCATCAATGAAACGGGCTGGTGTGTTTGCAGGCAGATTCGATTCATGAGAAGCCTCACATAATCTCACATACTGGTAGATATAATATAACATATTATATATATACATACAGATTAAGTGACCATAGTCAAGCTCCAAAGGCATTGTTTTCTTTTCTTGGTACTTGGCTTATTCCAATCTATTTAGATTCCGCAGCATAGGTTTGTCCACCCTGTGTTTGCCCTTGATTGTACAATACAATAGAGGTTCATGACGTCAGTCTTCAATCTGTGGACTTTGTGCCACAGCCCTGCCCAACCGACTGTGGTTGACAACCAATACTGGAACGCTCAGAACGCTCCAACAAAAGAAACCATTTTTGGATGTGTTTGTCCGAGTTCAAACTACTACCCTCCATCCGACATTGGCATATTTAATCATGATGCAGGTGGATCGCGACCCCTCCTTCACTAGTCAAGAATCGTTCACTTCCGTGTTTGTTGAAGGGAGGTTAAACCCATTTGAGATCTAGACCATTCTTTGTTCTTTTCGCCCACAGGATGATAATATATTCCACTCGCTTAGCAAATTGCATTGAACTCCCCGAATATTACAGTGGTTTCAGAGTAGATGGCACAGACCCCAAGAGGTGGTTTATATGAACCCCCATGTAAAGGACATCTTGGGGCGCCAGTGCCATCTACTCTGAAACCACTGTAAAAGTACATTACAACGATTACAACATATGACAAATAATGTCAAATCATACTGTTAGTAGTTATATTGAGGTTCTATCGAGGTGTTTTCCTCCCACTCACTGGAACGGACACCCGAACTCTCGGAGCTGTGGCGCCAGGAAACTCCCCATGGTCCGTGAGTTTTCTGGAGCGGGTCGCTTCGAGCAACTTCATGGTCGCCTGGGATCAGCCTCTTGCTAACATGTGGATCACTGGGGGGTCCCTGGTGGACCGGAACATGAACAGAATATATACTCCCCTGCAGAGGACCACATGGAAACCCAAAACCACTGGGTTCTAGAGGAAAATGGTCTTCCACAGGTCTTTTCTCAGGTTCTATGAATATAATTGGAGTCAAGGTGGTCAACCTGCCAGGGTTTAGTTGAGATGTCCGGGCTTTGACCTGCCAAATCAGCCTCTTGGTGAACTGATTGGGAACTAAAGGGAAAGACAAAAGCACTACAGACGAGGGGGACTAACGAAGGTCCTTCTGATCGTGGTATGTTTGCACCTCTTTCTTGGGGTGCTTTGAGAAACTCACTCCCCAAGCACTGCCGTGGAGCTGAGCAGCTGGCACTTGGTACATCGGTAGGGTATACCTGAGGGATGGTCAAAAACCGGTCCAGATTGTTTGGGATGGAAAACAATTGAACACCCACTTATGTACGTGGGACCAATCCTGGGACACCCCTCGTGAGGTGGAGCTGCAAGACATGTTTGGTGACAGCAATTTGGTTTTGTTAACTTCCTTTGGTGAGGACCTGATGGATAGAACTTCGCACCCCCATGAAACATCCCAAAGAAAGATGCATGTCCTAAGCCACAGACCTGCACGGATGTCCGAAAGCGGGACTTCTGGGTCTGGCAGACCAAAGCAGGTCAATGTTCTTTTGGCACATGGTCCGCGGAGCCTTGGACATGGATCTCGCTCAGGAGGGGAGGTGGCAAGTTCCGGGCTGAGGAGGGGAAGGGTTTGGCAGGCAGATTGGATTCATGAGATGCCTCACATAATCTCAGTCTCATACTGCATATAAAAGATTATAAACGTGTATATAGATAGATAAGATAAGATGTGATGTGAGATGATAAGATAAGGAAAGAAAGAAAGAAAGATAGATAGATAGATAGGTAAGATAGATAGATAGATAGACAGATAGATAAAGAAATATAGATAGATAGATAGATAGTTGGATGGAAAGATCGATTGATTTATTTTCTTGGTACTTGCTTATTCACATTTTTTAGATTCAGCTAAATATAGCTTTGTCCAACCTGTGTTTTAGAGTAAAATAGATGTTCATGACATTGGTCTTCAATCTGTGGACTTTGCCACAGCCCTGCCCAACCGACTCCATTTTTGGACATTTTTGAAGTTCAATCTACTACCCTCCATTCAACATATTTGGATATGATGCAAGTGGACAATGACCACTCCTTCACTAGTCAGGAATCGTTCACTTCCGTGTTGGTTGAATGGAGGTTAAGCCTGATTCTTCGCCTGCAGGATGAGGACTTCACTTATCCAAAGGAGGTTCGCTTAGTACATCAGGCCGGGAAGGACCAATTGGAGCGTCCTTCACGTGGACATTATAAAATAAACACTGAATTCATGGGGGGCTGAATGATGCTGTTCCGCTGACGTTGGTCTAGTGAAGGCACTTCACAGACATGGTCTTCGTGCGTGGACGAGCCAGATTTGGTGGTTGACCGCTGGAGTGCCTGATTGATCTACCATCTTGGGAAACGAAGGCTACTGTTTGTGCTGGAAATCGATATTCTTTAATAATCTTGAGACTTTCACTGTCACTTGTGTGTGTGTGAGGGAGGAGTGCACCCGACAACCAACGGGTTGATTGTGTCTTTTCTTATTTGCTGTCCGGCCCAGTGTGGGAAACACCGTAAATGCTCCACAAAAGCCGTGGTGCTTCAGAGGGAGCGACAGAGCCATATGGGAAGCCGGAACCGGAGGCCGGAACCGGAACCTGCAACCTGCGCTCTGCGCAGGCGCACTTCAATGCCTTCGTCCCCCCGGCCTCCGTCGACTGGATGGCCTATGAGTGGCGCCCGGGGGACTTCGTGCGGCACTTCGCCGGGTGCCCCTGGCAGGAGCGGGGTCGAGGTTCCGCACAGCTGGCGGTTGTGTTTTAAAAGATTGCATTGACATGCTTGTGTAGCACGTTTGCATCAGTCTCATGAGTGGCATAGAGCTGGTCCTTGCCATTTTTGCAGGAGCAGCCCTGCTTGAAGATGATGCTGGTCACTTGTTTGGCATGTATGGCCAGGGCTCAGACAACCTCATGACCTTGCACAACCTTACCGCTCCTAACTGTCCAACTGCGCTAGAATTTGGATTTCATGACCATGAGATTTGAGGCTACTACATCCAGGTTTTAGTACCTTTGGTTTGCTCACCTCGCTTGGGCACAGGCACTTGGGAAGCCTTAAAGTAAAAAACATCAATCACAAGTCTTCAATCAATGGCTGCACGGCCAAACCCTTCCAGACTTCCAGATGCAGTGTTTTGCTGTTGTGATGTTGACTTGTGCTCATGCTCAGGAGACCGCACAGATGGCACCATTAAGGGCCCAGGAACAGGCGGAATACTTGGCTCGGACCGGCCGCTGAACAAACACCTGCCTGCAGCGGACTGCGCGTGTGTGCTCATCAATCCCAGCTGAGGCAAATGGGGAAAAACCGCAACATCCCGCAACTAATTTGCGTCATTGTTTCCTGATTGGATCGGGAAGTGGCCCCCAGGTGTGGGTGGACCAGCGAAGCGAGTGGATGGGATCGCGCCTTGGAGATTCAAGGGTTTGGGTGGCCATCAAGCCTTCTTCACCTAGCCAGATGATACAAGACGGTCAAACTACGTCAAGCCACAGAGACAAGCAAGCTTGATTCACCCAACGGGCCCAGGGGCTGGTAGCAGTAATTACACAAAAGCCTAAGATAGCCTAAGTCGTTTCCCCAAGGTGGAGATATCGGGGCAACCTCAAATCATTCTGCTCAATCATCTTCACGGGGTGAGACATGAAGTTAATCCAAAATCTGTTGCTCCCGAAAAGGCACAATGAAGCATCCGAAGCATCCTTGCCTCTGCATGGGGTAAACATACCAATCCCAGTTGTGCGTGTATGCTGTGCGTGGCGGCAATCGAGTAAGGAAGTGTTCAAGGGTCTCGGAGGAAATGCTCGAAGGAACGCCTCAAAAGGTAACAGAAGTTCAGGGTCTCCAAGTTCAGGTAATGCGAAGGTGACATTGCATTCTTAGACAAGAACAGGTCAGAACTCAGGTTGTCGCTAGGCCCTAGGCGTTGAGAACTGGGCAATCCAAATTGTGGAAGCCAACCTGGCATGGACGGTGTTATTGCTTTCACACAATCAAATGGATCATTGTGATCATTGTGCAAAAGCGTGCTTGGCCCCAGGTGCCAGCTTGCATCCATCAACTTGCTCGCTTATGGGTATGCATCTAAGGCCAGAAACAGGCTTTTAGCTGATGGCTGATGATCTGCACGAATGAAAGAACCAGAGATGGAGAGAGTTTGAGAGGCTTGAGGTAGAGCTGTTCTTTGATGCCGCTACCGCTACCCAAACCTTAATCTGTGCACCCTATCCGATGTGATCATAATGACTTGGACATGTTGCTTGTGCTACGGTAGTGCCACTCCATGGCTCCAAAGTTCCATGAATAGAGGTCGGGGAGCTTGTAATTCTGCCAGGCTTGCACTTTGTCCAAGGAAGCAGCACCCGAGAATTCTTTCTCAGTGCCCTCAGATGGAGATGTCCAAGGTTCTGTTCCACCGCCAAACATCATCAGAGTTCGTTTTGATGATTTTGATGTTGGGTTGGGCCAGGCTTGTTCCACGAGAACTTGAGACTTGCTCAAAGCTGGTACAGGACAGCGCACCCGCCTCCAGGTACATACGACCAGAAGCACGTTCAATTTCGCCCCTTGGCAGAAGCCGTTCATCATCAGGTCTTGGCTGGGGGGACTTGTTCTCTTTTTTTAGTCAAAGACTTTAAAGAAAATATGTTAAGGAACCCAATTGCCTCCAACCTAGTAGCGATGGCCTAACCTACTCTTTCTCCAACTGGGACGCTTGTGATGATTCGCTTCCTTGACGTGTAGCTTCCTTTTCATCCTTAGTACTGGTCATCGCCGGTTGCGCAAGAGTCGGAGACCTCCGCCCTATATAGCTAGGGTGACTCGGGTGTATCCGAGCATCCCATTATACCAGTAGCAGTTGGTATTTTGGGGACAGGTCTTTACTATATAACCATCATCATCGACGGTGGCTGGTATTTTTTGTAAAGTCCTATGGGCTGCCCAAAGCTGAGAGACAGAGACACAGATCTGTACCAGCAGAGTTCCGAAGCCGCTCAAAAGCCACAGACGTATTTGCTTGGTACATCTTTGCACTATCTGAGATGCACCAAGATTGCAATCTAGTGCACATCAGATTTCAAACAGTTTGGCACATCTTTGCACTATCGTTGGTGCATGTACTACGTTTGAAATATGAGATTCAGGATGTGAATTTGGTGATGCAGCAACCGTCAGTTCGCGCCGGCGTCCCCGATCTCGGCACGAGTCCGCGGTGGGAGGGAGAGGAGACTTGAGTGACCAGGAGAAACAGGGTTTCACGGCGGCACGGCATTCGGTCGGTAGGTAGGATAGGGTTCCAACCACGGTTACTTTCACATTGGTAGCGGAGCCCCCAAAACATAGGGGGCAAGTTTTCGGGTTCTTACCATTTTGCATCGGGGCGTGCATCTGGTATGTTCCAGAGGGCCATGGCTGGTCGCGATGGTGGGACTGATGCAGGTCCTAGCGAAGGGAGAGGCTCGTTGTCCACGAGCCAGTTGCCTTGGGGCCAGATCCCAAGCTTTGTGGCAGGAGAGTCAGACCTGGAAGATTATGCGAAGAAGCTGATTTTCCTGCGTTCCATATGGCCTGAAGAGCACATCGCTCACCTTGCACCTAGAGCAGCTCTCCAGTGCGATGCTGTATCCTTCAAGAAGGTGTCCAAGATTGATCCAGAACGTTTGAAGTCCAAAGAAGGATGCGATGCACTTCTCACTGCATTAGGTGTCCAGTGGGGTCGCTTTCAGAACGAGGATCGCTATCTGAAGTTCGAGCGAGCATTGTTCCTGACGACTCAGAAGCCGGATGAATCAAACGATTCATACATCGCCCGACATGAGGCGAGCTTTGAAGAGATCCTGCAGAAGGATAAGAGCGTGTCGCTGGAAGAGATCAGGGCATATGTGATGATTCGTCATTCCCAGCTCACAGGTGAAGAGAAGAAGCGCATTATCGTCGACAACAAGGGCATCCTGACCTATGACTCAACCCGGGATGCAATGAGATTGTTGGGGTCGCGCTTCTTTCAAGACCTTCAAGGCGCAGGGGGTAAGAAGTGGAAGACCTATGATGCACACACAGTTGAGGAGTCAGAACCAGTCTTCACTTCGGTGGATGAAGGGGTGGATGAGGAGCAGGTCTATCAGACACTGCTTGAGCAGGGTGATGAGGATGCCGTCTTCATCCAGGAGTTTGAGGAGCAGATCATCGAGGCAGTGCAGGACTCAGGAGAGTTAGCAAGCTGTTTCCTGAGTTATCAGGAGGCCCGTGCCAAGCTTCGTGAACGAGCTCGGAATCGAGGATTTTGGCCACCTCGTGGTTCGGGAAAGGGCAAGAGCTTTGGTGGTGGCAAGAAAGGGGGAAAAGGAGCACCATTTTCGTCCTCTCGCCGCACCCTTGCAGAGAGGATTGCCAACTCGACCTGCCGGATTTGCGGAAAGCCAGGCCATTGGAAGAGGGAATGTCCACAGCGACCTGATCGTCCCGATCGTCCCTCCGAGATGGCAACCATGGCTGAAGAGTTTGAGGAGTTCAACGACCCGGAACTCCCAGAAAACTTGCCGGATGAGATCCAGGAGAGTTCAAAATTCCGTGCCGCATGTTTGTTTAACAAAGAAAAGACTAGGAGTCTTTTGAGTAGTGAAGCCTTGGGTGATAGCATGATGCATTGGGGTCCCCACGCTGTTGATCACGTTCAAGAGTGTTTTGCTGTTTTTGGGGAAGTGAGGGAAATGATGTCAAGAGCCTTGAAACAACATGCAAGGCTTCGCGGTGATTTGATGAAGAGACGTGAAGCCGGGACGCATGAAGCCAAGGGCTTGAGCCAGACTTTCTCCGTGAAGCCTTCAGTGGCCTTTGCTTCAACCCCCTCGGTTGAAATGAACCAGGAAGAGGGAGTAGGTGAGGCAATTTTGGATACAGGAGCAAGCCGAACGGTCATCGGTAGCGAACGGGTCCCGGCACTTGAGAGGGCTTTACGAGGTATTCGGATCGAAAGGGGCCCCTCGAAGTGTGTTTTCCGATTCGGTAATAGTGGCTTGCTCCGAAGTGAAGAAGCTTTGTTCTTAAAACGTCACGGAAAAGGCTGGCTCCGCGTTGAGATCGTGCCCGGAAGCACACCCTTTTTGATATCCAATGCCGTTGTTGAGGGCTTGAAGGGGGTTGTTGATGTTCATCAGGGTTTGCTGTCATTTCATGGTAGTGATGATGTAATTCATTTGAGGCGAGTTCGAAAGAAGTTGTGTTGTTTGAAAGTTAGGGATTTGTTGAACGTGCGTTTCTTTGAAGCAGGGGAGAGTTGTTTGCATGTTCACACAAAGAAAACAACACAGACAGACATACACACCCACCCGGACGTGCATGAAGAATTTGAGCACACCACACCAGACGGACGTAAAGAGGACGGAACGTCCCAACAGACCACAGACTTGATACAAAGCAGTGCCGAACCACCAATCAGTCGAGAGATCCATGCAGCCAGTGGAGCGAATCAAGCATCCAGCACCGAGTCCGTGTTCGAGAGCGTGAAGCATCATGGCCCTACGCAAGATGGTGCCTCAATACCAGTTGGAAGAGCTGTCCGGGGAGGAGGATTGCAGTCTTCGACGGGAGACTCATCAGCCTCTCACCTACCAGTACAAGGTGCCCCCTGGAATTCACAACCTCCAGCAATGGGGAGCCGAGTGTTTCCAGTCAGGAAAGCACAAGGGAGCATCCTTCCAAGACATCTTCGACAAGGAGAGCAGCTATGTGCAGTTCATCCTGAGCAATACTCGGCTGACGGCAACCGACATGCTCAGCTTTCAGAATTTCTGCAAAGCTCAGAAAAAGAAGTTGGCACAGACGATGCAGCAGGGTCCCATTCTTCCGAAGACAACGTCTCATCGCCATTCTGCAATGAGCTCAGGTCCAATCAGCTCGACCCAAGAGCGCCAGGTGCCAGTTCAGATCATCGACTCGGAGTGGAGCCATGTGGAGATGAACGAGCCGCCTTCCCATCCCAAGAACACCAAGGACAATCTGAAAAGGGGGTATCCACAGGGAAGTTCACCAACACCGATGAAGGTGGAGGAGAATTCCCAGACCGTGCAGGAGCTCCAGACGCAGATTGCGATTCTCCAGAGGGAACTGGCGAAGCAGACATCTCCCAAAGACGACCTACCAACCACACCCTGAGACGACAGCTGAGGGGTGTGACTAATGCGAGATCACCGAAGTGGAACACCGAAGAGGTAAATAGAAGATGCAAGGAACTCATTTGTACCATAGAGGACGGTTTGTCCACTCTTCCTAAAAAGTTTGTTGGTACGGAATCCAAACCTCAGACTGGTGTTTCAGATCCCGGACACAATCGGCCCATTGACTGCCTTGAGGTGTATTGTTTTGCAGACTCCCAATTGACCAAGCAAATTGAAAGTTTGGGAGGGAAAGCAGTGAGATTTACTCGTAAAGATGGCGACCTCACCACACCTGAAGGGGTCAAGAAATTGTGGACGTGGATCATGTTGTATGAACCTACCCATATCTGGGCATCTCCTGATTGCAAGTATTGGGGAGGGTTTTCACGACTCAACATGTCACGAAACGAATACATGGAACGACATATCATGGAGAAGAGACAAACGGAGAAACCCAATTTGAATTTGTGTCATGACTTGTATTGGCATCAGGTGTGTTTGGGTAGACATTTTCACTTGGAACAACCTAGTGGTTCAGAAATGATACAACAGTCAGAAATGTACGACATTGCAACAGGAACGATGCCGGCATCCTTTGATCAGTGTCGGGTAGGTGGTTTGCGTTTGCCTCAGGATGATCGTTTCCTCCGGAAGAGAACTGTTGTGCACACCACATCGAGGATTGTTCATTCACTTCTACATCGCAGATGGTGCAATCAAGATCATGAACATCGACGCATAGAAGGCAGTTTCAAGCATCACGGAGATCGACAATCAGTTTCCGCTTTTGCAGCACACTACACCAGAACATTTGCCAGAACCGTGACTAAAGCACTCATGGAATCCAGTTCCAAACGTGAGGACCCCCTAGCAGTCATGGAACTTTTAGCAGGGTTTGAAGCTTCAGAAAGTGGGCACAAACGATCTCGAGAATCAGCAATTGATTCTCTCCGGCTGAAACGTCATAGGTGCGTGTACAAACAGCCGTGTCCTGCAGCATTTGCACCCGCTGTGGCACCAGTGTCTTGGGAACACATCATGCAAGAGGTCTCCAAAGAGACTCCTAGGGTTGGTGTTCACACAATACGCCAGGGGCCTCTCATGGAAAAAGTTCAATCTGTGATTCCCGAGATGCAGGTACAGCTGATGATTTCATGTCGCGGGACGGACAGATACAGGACCCCTGACAAACAGGACGATAGTAGTAGGCTGACTTTGAGGAAGACGGTCTATATTCATCGAGTTTCGGGTGCGTTTGTGGATGTTGGGGTTCCTGAAGAATGGCAAAAGCTTTCACGTATGAAGAGGGTAGGCAAATGTGGCCCCGCACGACTTTCACTGACTGTGTTTGGGTCCCCATGTTTCGGAGAGGAGATCGTGGACCCTCATCCGAAAAAGGAAACACGTGAAGGGTCAAGTCCTGCCATTTCAGTTGAAGGGCATGAATCAGCCTGGGCACCCAGGCCAATTGCTGTCTCTGGACCTTTGTTCTTGAAATTGCCCCCTGAGGAACGGGCTGATATTGTAAGGCTACATCAGAATTTGGGGCATCCCGAGCCAGACTTGTTCCGCAAGTTTCTTAAGGAACGAGGGGCATCAGAGGCAGTGATTGAAGGGGTGAAAGAATTTCAATGCCCAACCTGTGCAGAAAACCAGGGGGCTCCACTATTGGCACGCCCTAGTAGTATTCACCGGGATTTGGACTTCAACGACGAAGTAGGAGGTGATGGGGCTTGGTGGACAAATAGTAGGGGCAGGAAGTTTCATTTCATGCATTTTATCGACGAGGGAACCTTGTTTCATGTTGGAGCACCCTGTGGAAGATCCACACCAGAACAAATTCGAGTGTTTGAGGATGTTTGGCTGCAATGGGCTGGACCATGTAAACTTCTATACTTGGACCCTGCCGGGGAATATGTCAATGATGAATGGAGACAATTCCTCCAGACGGAGAACATTTGTGTCTCTCTCAGTGCAGGGGAAAGTCATTGGCAATTGGGAAGATGCGAACGCCATGGACAAATCGCGAAGAACATGTTGGATAGGATGAATGTTGAGAGTCCAATTGAAAGTGACGAAGAGTTCAGAGTTTGTTTGAGACAAGCGTTTGCAGCAAAGAATGCCTTAAGCAGAGTTGGTGGATTCTCCCCGGAGCAAGCTCTACTGGGAAAGTCACGACACATTCCTGCCTCCTTGACGGGCGATGAAAACGTGGGAAGCCATAGCTTGGCAGTGAGTGACGACCCGGAGGGCCAGTGGTTTTTGAAGTCGTTGGCACGGCGAGAGCAAGCAAGGCGAAGTTTCATTGCTGCTGACAATGACAACAGCTTTCGACGTGCTCTCCTCCGCAGAACTAGGCCTAGCCGAGCTCAGTATCAAAGGGGTGATTGGGTACTATATTGGAGAAGGAGGGGAGTCGGTAGAAAGGAAAGGGGTAGGTGGCATGGTCCTTCCCAGGTCATTGTGGTTGAAGGGAACAAAGTTGTCTGGCTGAGTCATTGTGGCCGACTAATTCGAGCGAGTCCAGAACACCTCAGACCTGCTTCACTGCGTGAATATCATTTGTTGCCAAGGGATGACCAGGGTCAGGTTCGAGACGAGGTTTTGAAAGAGGGTCAAGGGCCTAGGGACTTTGTAGCCTTGGACGAATTTCCTGAAGCAGGGGATATGAGGACTGTTCCTTCCGTGACCGAAGAGGACCAGCCCGAGCTGGAAGTGTCTCCACCATCCACGTTGGGAACTGAGCCTATGGAACCGGAAAGGGAGGGGTTGAGTGAGTATGCACCCACAGATCCTCCCGATGTCGAGATGGATGGAGTGAACATTCCAGTTCCTGAAGAAGTCGATGATGATTTGTTTGCTTTCGGAGATGACACCTTTCTCTCACTGGGAAGTCCTGAGTATGAGTTCTCTTTTAGGGATGGTCCTGTTTTGGGGGAGTCTCAAAGGGATACTGTCTTTTCAGTATGGGAGACGTTTGGGGTGACCAATGCTAAGAAGGAGAAGGTAGAGCTTAGGTGGGACGATCTCAGTGAGAAAGAGAAGGTGCTCTTCCGTGCTGCCAAAGAAAAAGAAGTGAAGGCATGGCTGTCTCATCAGACAGTGAAAAGGGTGGCACAGGGCACTCTGAAGCCCGAAGAAATCATGAGATGTAGGTGGATTTTAACATGGAAGCCACCAGAATCTCCGGGCGGAGAACGCCGTGCCAAAGCCCGGTTGGTGATCCTTGGATTCACAGATCCCGGAATTTCCTATGTCCCCAATGACGCCCCCACGTTGTCCAAAGACGGAAGGATGCTAGTCGTACAGGGAGTGTCGAGTTTTGGATGGGACTTGGTGAGTTTTGATGTGTCAACTGCCTTTTTGAAGGGCGAAGGAGATGGCCGGAATCTAGGGATCCAAGCACCACCTGAAATTGCCACCTCACTGAACATGTCTCGGACAGACCAATGCCAGCTGTTGGGTGGAGCGTATGGTCGAGTCGATGGTCCCTATCTGTGGTATAAGTCCTTTAGGAAGACTCTAGAAGATCATGGTTTTGTGTGCTCCCCTTTTGACAGCTGTGTTTTCAGTTTGGTGACTCAGGGAGAAGGCAAACAACCTCAGGTTCGTGGTCTGTTGGGGATTCACGTAGATGACGGAATAGGTGGAGGTGATAGCTACTTTCACGAAACCCTCGAAAAGATCCAAAAGGTGTACAGTTTCGGGGCTTTCCATAAGAAGAATTTTGTATTTTGTGGAGCGCGGTACTTTCAATGGGATGACGGATCGATTGAGTTGGACCAACGAGAGTATATCGAAAGAATCAATCCGATCCAAATTCCCAAGCATCGCCGTGCAGAGCCATTGTCCGAAGTGACAGAAGGTGAGCGTCAAGAAATTCGACAGTTGTGCGGGTCTCTTCAATATGCCTCAGTCAATACCAGACCTGATCTTTCAGCTAAGATAGGGGAAGTACAGTCGAAGATTACACGAGCGACTGTCGGGGAGATGTTAGCTTTGAATAGGATTTTGCATGAGGCAAAGAGTCACCCGGTGTGCCTGCATATTTTACCCATCAAAGTGGCAGAACTGTCCTTTTGTGCTTTCAGTGACGCCTCCTTCGCAACAAATAAGGACACAGCCTCAAGACAAGGAACAATCATTTTTGCGACTGATCGAAACTTAGACAGGAATATGGTTGGGGTAGTGTGTCCCATAGCTTGGACTTCAAGGAAAATCCCCAGAGTTGTTCGATCCACCTTGTCCGCTGAAGCTGTGGCACTTACTTAGTGCTTCCTTGGATCGGCTCTCGTGGTTGCGCCTTTTTTGGGAATGGGTGAAAAATCCCGGAAGTAATGTGATGGAGCCAGAAGGTATGCTTGCTGAGGCACCCAGGTCATCGGTTGTGACAGATTGTAAATCTGTTTACGACGTTTCAACGAAGACTTCGACACCAACTTGTGAAGAGTACCGGACATGTTTGGAATGCATTCTCATTCGAGAGCGGTTGAGAGAGAACTGTCGTTTGAGATGGGTCAACTCACAAGCACAGCTGGCAGATTCATTAACGAAGGCGATGGATGCTACGCTTTTGAGGCAATGCCTTGCGGCAGGAAAGTACAGTTTGTTTGACGAAGCTGCGACACTTAAAGCTAAAGCAGATAAACGAAACCGCCTAGCTTGGGTAAACAAGGAAAAGGAAAAATCGTCAGAGAGTTTGAAGACGTAGAAAATAGGTGGTGTGTGAATTTGGTGATGCAGCAACCGTCAGTTCGCGCCGGCGTCCCCGATCTCGGCACGAGTCCGCGGTGGGAGGGAGAGGAGACTTGAGTGACCAGGAGAAACAGGGTTTCACGGCGGCACGGCATTCGGTCGGTAGGTAGGATAGGGTTCCAACCACGGTTACTTTCACACAGGAACTTCTGATGTAGTCCCCCACTAATTTGGAAATATGAGAAGATTTGACCCGTGAGAGGACTGGAAAGGGGTACCAGATTCTGATGGAATTGGAAAGCTCAAAGTCTAACTCGAAAACCGGACATCGTTCCAGAATACAGAGTCCTACAGTACTTCTCACGGATACTTATCCACCGTTCTGTAAGGACACATACGAGCTATAGTTAGACTACCAGCTGCTTCCAAGGGGTTACCAATGGACAACCCCACACTGCTTAGAGGTCACCATTGGACACCCAGACAGGAAGCGCTACGTAGGTATAATGCACTTAGTTCCGTAAAATGGCGTGATGCTCTTCTTGCAGACTCCGCGCTCGTGCCTCCAACGAGCCACTTCCCGCCTCTTTCGTCCTCAGGTCTTCGCGGGCGACGCCGAGTGTGGGCCTCGGATCCGTGGTGGCATGGTGGAACCCTCGTTCTCATTTCTATTCCTTCAACATACCTAGCTACTTTAGCATAGCACACCCCACCCCAGAGTCTATCTATAACGAATTTCCTCAGTCGGCCGTTTTCTCGTTCAAACAGCCGTTTGGCTCGTCTTCTTTGGGCCGGAAACCCTACCGAACTCGCCTTACTTTCCATGAACGGTGTCTTCGTGCTTTCCTCTCTCGTGGCCCTCACTACCTCCAGCCTTTTGGAGGATGTGGAGCCTAACCAATGTATTGACCTCCTCCAGACCCAGTCAGAGTTCCGATTGCGCCCCCGTCCTGTTCGCCAAGAGCTGGCGAATCATGAGGATGTCTCCTACACTGGACGGATCAGGGTTGGGCAACAAGATTTTGAGGCCATTCTGGACACCGGATCCTTTGAGTTGGTGATCTTCACACATAATTGCGAAGGCTGTGGGGCAGCAGGGCACCGTGGCTACGACCCTCGGAAGAGCCCCAAGTATCGGGCTGGACGCCTGGTGCAAGAGCTTAGCTATGGGAGTGGTAATGCCTTTTGCAGCAATGCATTTGACCAAGTGGAGATTGGATACTCGGCTAAAGACATGACACATGTCCTTTCGTAGTGGATCCAGGATGGAGGGGAAGTGAGGTTCATCGGATTTCAATGGACTTTGTAGGTTCATACATAAGGCATCATAAGTTTCATGTCTTAATTGATGTTCAATCAAGTGAGGAAGCTTACACCTTGAGTCTCAACCAATTTGGCTTGTGGAACAAGCTCAGATGAAAGTTCTGTCAGATGCCAAGTTTCAAGCGATTCTTGGCGTGGGCCCCCCCTTTGCAATGAAGTTGCAGGCAGAGATGGACGAAAAGCAGTTGCAAGGCTTAGCTGGCAAGTTGAAAGCTTGGAATGTGTCTATTCCTGCAAGTCTTCGCAGTCGGATGCAAAACATCAAAAAGGCAGACCGTGCCATGGAAAATCTGCACGACAGTGTCCCCGAAAACTTGCAACTGCGTTTCTTGTCCATGTGTCTGGGGCGCAAGCAGGGGTCTCTTGGGGCCGCCATTTGGCATGACCACGATCCATCCAGCAGACCAGAGCCTTTCAGACGATTGGCAGTGATCGGCAAGGTCACTTGGGGCTTGTCATTGAAAAACGTCCGCTTGGTCTCAAAGGGTCAGCGCATTGACATCGCTTGCTCCAAGGGCTGTGGAGCCATTCTGGACACCGGCACCTCTCTCCTTACGGCTCCCTTTGATGCAGTGAACCGAATGGGCAACGTCCTTAAAGCTTTAGGTGCAAATTGCCTGAAGGAAGACAGCTTGCCACATTTGGAGTTCGAGCTCGGGGGAGAAGTCTTGTCTTTGCCTCCTCAATCCTACATTGGCTTCGTGAAGGGTGTGATGCCTGCTCCTTGGAAGACACTTTTTCACCAGAAGCCTTTGATTCAAGTGGAAGATTGTCAATTGCTGATGATGGACAATGGAGGAATGACAGGTGGTGAGGAAGGACCACTTTGGATCATCGGTATGCCCTTCTTCCGCACCTTTTACACCACCTTCGACTACTCTTCAAGTCAGCCTTCCATTTGGGTTACAGAAGCTAGTGAGAGCTGTGAGCCCGCGCAGGCAGCACATGCAGCGCATGTGAAACAGTCCTCATTGTTGCAAGTGGATCAGAGCAATTTGAGGTTGCCTCGATGGATGTCAAATCGTAGTTCAGAGCATGTTCAACTTTGAAAGAGACACACGGCCAAATTGTTTGTGCAGGGATGACCACCCCTGTCGCATGAGTCAAAAGATCGTGCTCTCGAAATCCGCTAATTTACGTGTTTCTACATGTCACATGATGTCACATATTATGTAAAACATATTATAGACCTTCTGGAGAAGGATTTTTGTTTGGAAATTTTTGCCAGAAGGCCTTGCTCGCCATCTACTACTTGCACAAAGCAAACCATACTCACACCCGCTCAGAGTAGAACATGTGCACGTTTCGCCCTTGCAGAAGATAGCTTACAGATCCTTGAACATCTCAGCTTGAGTCTTGAGCATTTTCCCGCAAATGCCATGTCTCAAATTCAGAGACTTTGACCGGAAAGTTCGTCACCTTGGGGACGCCGAAGACGCTTAATTCCGGATTCAGAAGACTTGTTCCTGGTATGAGCTGCTTGCAGTTCGTTGATGTTGGATTCTTACGTGATTCTTTGCCAGGTAGTTGCATGGCTGAGCTAGCTTCTAGCTCCTCAGCGTGTTGCAATGTATCGCTTTCAGTTTTTGCGGGATTTTAGGGTCGCCTGCAAATTCGTTGATCGATGTGCCCTGGTGTGGTGCTTGCTTTTGAAATGTTCGATTCTGCCATCAAAGGCGAAAGGCCTAGTTGCCACTGAGGTTCTTCTCCTTGTTGCTCCAGCCTCAGTTTTGTGGCCTTTGGAAAGTCAGTGCTGGGTGTGTTAGAACTTGCTCTCAAGGTCTTTTCATGTACTACCGTTGCTACTGTAGCAGCTTGGATGCTGAGAGCTGGGAGACCTGCCCAGAGTTTAACGAGCCGACGGGCTGACGACTCACGACCCATCCTGAGGCCAGTCCTCTCGCGCCTTTGTGCAGGGAAGCTCACAAAGTGGAAAGCAATCCTTGTCAGCAAACATGGAAGGCATTTGAGCATATATATATATATATAAGAGGCGAGACGAGGTGAGACTATACTTATTGGAACCCATCTTTACGGATTCCATCCTTTGGGCTTGGCCATGGCTATGTGTTTGATTCTTCCCATGTTTTTTCCCTTGAGGCGCATGTTCAGGGCTGGCCGGTGGCTGGCTCCGTGTCTTCCCGCTCCGACCTCAGAGAGGGTGAAACGGCAGGAGGCCGCCCCGTGCCACAAGCATACTGCATGGCATTATTCGATTTCTTCAGTCGCACAACACCTTCGGCTGGTGCAACCCTTCAAGGACAAATAGGATCAAATTGGTTCTTCTTTGGGACCAATTGTCGCAATAGATGAGTTCGGTCGCATGTTTGGATCATTTAAGTTGCAGCAATTATATATCAGCAATTCAGTGTGAGCTGTGACCTGTGGCATGTGCCTGTCGGACCACCGTACATAGTGGAAATTCTGAAAGAAAAGGCATAAAAAGTTCAGCTTATTGAAGTAGCAGTTGGTAAAGTCCTTTGTTTGAGTACCAGCCGCAGTTCCAGAAAGAGACAAAGAAAGCCAACCTGGAATTTGGATGACCAATATGGTTCTCTCATCATTGCATTGAGTGATGCCTCTACTAAGTAGAGCTACGAAGATATGTCCTCGTACTCTTTGAAGCTGTCTGGCTGAGAGCAACTGAGTTACTGTACCCCCCCGCCACCCCAATGTGGGTGGCGGGGGGTGTGGACAAAGAAAGGTGGTATGGCCACCGATTCAAGACAGGGCAGCTTGTTGAGTGTGCAATCCGGGATGGAGATGGCCACGCTCAAGGCACGATCATCCTGGAGATAGCAGCTGCCCTGTCAACAGACGACAAAGGGCATTGGGTGACCGCCAAGTACATCGGTGCAAGCGATGCCCATATGCAGTGGTGGATGACGAAGGGTGAAGGCAAGAAGCTCGCATCCAAATGTGCCTATCACTTCTGCGAGGAATCGTCCCACGACTGCAAGGTCACTCGTCGAGGTGCCTCGATCCACGTCGAGAAGTTCAGGGTGTTGACTCAGAAAGAGATCGACAATAGGGTGCCAGCTTGGGCATTTGAGAAGGAGATGGCGAAGCCCTTCCTAGAGTTCTTGAAGGAGAAGGATATGGCCCCGAAGCCCAAAGAAGCAAAGGATGCTTTACCCTGGGTTGATCCAGGTGAGGAGGGCTCAGAAGAAGAGGATGAAGAGTCCCTGGAAGAGAGCCCTGCAAAGGTGGGCCTCAAGGCCAAGCTATTAATTGAAGGCCCGTGATGAGGTGAAGAGACTTGAGCGGGAGCTCACTGGGAAGAAGGGCGCCACAAAGGGCGAGAGCGCAAAGGCCAAGAAGGAGAAGGCTAAAAAGAAGAAGAAGTTGGCCCCTGAGGTCAAAGCAAAGAAGAAACGTAAGAAGCTCCAGCAGGTGTTCCCTGTTCATGAACACCTCCTCGTCCCTCTCCAGCAGGCCGCCGGAGTCCGGACCGAAGAGCTCCAGGAATTGTGCTGCTTGCCAATGGCCGTCGTGACAGCTCTTCTCGATTGCTTTCAGACGTTGGCCCAGCACGTCTGCCGCATGGGCCGGAAGCTTCCTCGCCAGAAGGTCCAGCGCGGTGCACAATGTCCTCATCTCCCTGTCAGCTCTCATCCCCAGGCGCTGGCCCAACTGCGGCACTATCATTGTGTGGAAGTAGTGGACGGCCGCTGGCGGGGTCAACTCCCCTCGATCGGCTGGTTTCGCCCCCACAGCCCCCTGGGCTCCTTCGACCTGCATCTTCAAGAGAAGCCTTGAAGCCAGGCGGCCCGGTGTTCTTTTGGCGTACTGCATCAACTTCAACTGGTTTGATGCTTTTGGGACTGTGGGGGCTTCGCGAAAACCCGCCTCTGACTCACTGGAGGTCTCACCCTGCGTCCCCGATCACGCTGGCCCTTCTTGGCCACTGCAGACTCCTTCACTTCGGCACCCTCACCGAACAAGCCTTCTTCCTCCTCACTATAGGAGGATGACTCTTCAATTGCCTTCTTCTTCTTCTTCTTTTTCGCCAGCCGGGCTCCCTTTGCATGTTCAGCGTCTCCGCCGGCTGCTCTCTTCTTCTTCTTCTTTCCACCTCCTGAAGAGGCCGAGAGGGGGCAAAGACGGAAAAGGCTGTCAGGAGAAAGGAGGCCGGAAGGGGAAAGAGAGAGGAAAAGGCAAAGGAGGCGAAAAGGAGAGAGAGAAGAAGGATTAGAGCCTGAGGTCACCAGTGAGCCACCTCAGCCCCTCGAGGCAGTGGTTGCAGGAGGCTTGAGGGGCTACCTGGCTGAAGACGGTCACTGGTTGAGCTGTTCTATGGCTTGTGGAGGACGTTTGAGGCAAGGACACGCCGCTGAGTCGCCTATCGCTTAAGAGTCCAGGACCGCCTCTCGACGACAAGTCCTCTAAGCCAGTGCGGGGCGACGAGCTGCTGCCCATTAACCCACAAGCTGTGATAGCCTATCTGCTGCCATCAGGGGGGCTGAAGGCACAGGGAGTGGCCGCTATGGTGAGTGCTCTCAACTACTTAGCAAGGTCTCAGGGCCAAGGAGGATGGTCTGCGCCAGAGTTCAAGAAAGAGCTCACCCAGTCCCAGAAGTTGACAGTTGACCACCTGAGGCGAGCTTGGACTACATGGAGGAGCGAAAGCTGAAGTGTAGTCGCTTTGAAGAGGCGGCAAAACACTTGGCTGCAGTGCGCTTTGATTACCAGGGTGAACCTGTGGTGGTGATGGAAGACATCAGAGCAGAGAAAGTGATTGCTGCGTGGCCGAAAGTGGGCCAGGCAGCGGTCCAAGATGTACTGACCTTTTCGCCAGAAGCTGAAGGCGAAGTTGCTGGATCCCCTTTCCTGCCTCAAGCCAGTCCACGAGTGGCCCGCTGAGCCGCACAAGTCACGAGTGAGGGCCTCTGATGATGAGTGGAACAAAGTGGTCAGTGCTGCGCATGAGCGAGGTTTGATGGTAGCCGTGGAGATGGACGAGGTCTTCAAGGATCAGAAGGGCCGACCCGTCCTTAACGGCGCGGGAGCAGTGAAGAAGGAGAAGAAGGTTGATGGCAAGGTGGTGAGCGCCCAGCGATTCATTAGCAACCTGATCCCAAGCAATATGTTTCAGGACCGCCTGGAGGGCGATGATAAGCTACTGCCGTATCTGGGGCAGCTCACCCTCCTGGAACAGGAGGAGGAAGAGGTTTGGTTAGTTGACTCAGAGGACTTCACGAGTTGCTTCAACTTGTTCCGGCCGCCCCCACTATAGCACAAGTTCATGGCCTTGGATGCAGCACTGTTGGGGGGAGTGCCGGGTAAGTTAGTGTACCCTGCAATGGCGGTGTTGCCTATGGGCTGGGTCAGCAGTGTAGCCGTGGTGCAAAGCATCGTGAGGTCCCTGGTCTTCAAGGAGGCTGACATCCCGCAGGAGTCTGAGATTGCCAAGACGCAGCTCGTATGATCAATTGAGAAAGTTCAAGAAGGGTTGTGAAGAAGTGGTGAAGGCTGGCATGTCAGAGCGCCACAAACGCTTCCTCAAGGTTTGCGAGGATTTGGCGCTGCCGTTGAATGATGGCAAGCGGCTGGTGGCTTCGACCTTGGGGGCCCTCCAGGGAGGTGAACTTGACGGGGCAGAAGGGCGCTATGGTCTGTAGAGGTGGTCACCTTGGGGGCTACCTTGCTGGCCAAGGAGAAATGGTCAGAAGCTGAGCTGAGGCACTTCGTGGGGAAGGCCACATTTGGGTGTTGTTTCAGGCGGCCTCTCTCCGCCATCCTGGAGAGTGTGTTTGAGGAGATCAATGAGAGAGCCAGGCAAAATGATCGTGACGTCCCTCGTCCAGACACCTGGGATGAGGTGGCGGCCATGGTTCTGCTTACACCGCTCATGTACACGTACCTGAAGGCGAAGATCGACCCAGAGGTGTCATGGCGGAGGAGCTGCGACTGCAGTAGACTGGCTCACTTTTAGCTGAGGTCCAAAGGGCCCAGCCAAAAAAACTAGCAGTCAAGAGGGTTTGCTGGGTCAGCTGACACTGAGTGGTTGCCTTTGAGCTCCCAGCCTTTGAGCTCCCAGGGCAAAAAAACACACACACTCTGACATTGGTTTTCAGTTAATCGATTCCCAAGTGGAAAAAGGTGAGGGAACAGTAAGGCGAGCAACGCGTGACCTTACTACAGAAACTTGATGCCATTTGATTCAGCATATGAGCTCCCGGCGCGGTGTGTTTGAGGTGCTAGAGAGGTTTGGCAAACATGATGCCACTTGTTTCCGATAAGTTGAGTAACTCGGAATTGTCACCATTTGATTTTGATTTTGAGTAACCCAGTTTGAATAACCTAGAAGTTTCACCATTACTTCCAAGCTTCTAGGTGTTGCCACAAAGAAACAACAAATGGATGTAGGTATTGTTCATGGTATCTGCGCCCCATTTCATTTGGACGGTGAGTTGAACTGAGTGGTTGAATGTTGCAATAACACTCAGTTGTTGTGTGATGTCTGTCCTGGAAACTATATCCAAACCATTGTATGTTTTTTGTTACTTAGTACGCAACGTCTGATGCAGTGTGTGCGTGCAGTTTCACAGGGTTCAAATGTCATATCGAGAGATATATTTTGCTTCGCCTGCTTTATATTCTGATGATTTTTTGGGAGTAATTGTGTGGAAGGCACAAAGAAGGATTGCCTGCGGTATTGGTAAGCCACATACACTTTATTTAGGTTTCCTGAAATAACGGTGACTAGTGATCGATTACTTTTGGTATAAACACAGGATTTTGGTCTAAACACAGGAGTTCGGCCTAACATCACAAAGTTTTCTATTTTATATATCTTGCGAGAGATCGTGTGTGTAGCCATTCGCATCTGCATGGTTGGCCAATTGATATAGCAAACAGTTTTTTAATGTGTTTAAAACAGGCCTTTTGATTGTCTCATGTGTTTTTAGATTTCATGAACTGTCAGGATGGTCAGGAACTGCCGCGCTAAGGAAAACTAAGGATTCGACATGCTAAGGGCCGGACTAAGGATCCCAAGCGCACTAAGGGCCGCACTACGGAATGACTAAGGATTTGACTAAGGGCCGCACTAAGGGTTGCTAAGGTTTCGTGAATGACGATCTCAAGGCGCGAAAAAAAAGAAACATTTAGGCCCCGCTGCGAAGCGGATTAGCCCTGAGA